CAGTCTCCTCCTCCACCCACCCCCCACTTTGCTAACACTTGAACCAGGGCTTCCTGCATGCCAGGCAAGTCCTCTGTCACTGAACTACCCAACCTAAGATCTCTTTCTTTATATTTACAACTAAGACAAACCAAACTGTGCATGATAGAACACACCCATAATCCAGCAACCATCGGGAGGCAGAAGCAGGCAAATCTCTGTGAGTTCAAGTCCATCCTGGTCTGCAGAGCGAGTTCCAGGACAGCCAGGACTACATAATAAGGGGGAAAAAAAAAGATTGAGAGAGTAATGTGGCCAGGTATAATAACACCTGCCTGGAGGATCTCAAGTTCAGTTAGCTTGGGCTAGAGTGAGCTTGTGGCTGCCCTGGATTGCACAGCAAGAAGCTATCTCTCTGGAGAGCAATACCGTCCACCTCTAATTGTGGTCTCAAGTGACCAGCCAAGCTTTGGTTTTCCACTACTTCCAGAATATTTCCCAAACATCTAGCAATGGGAAAAGAGCCGGACAAGGCCTGGAGCCAGCATCAAGGCAGCCTAGAGCCGTGAACCTGATAGAATCCCAGCAGCCCTGAAGCCAAGCTGGACCCAGGCGTGAGCTCATCGGATACCTGAGCTACCTGCAGCGACATGTCCACAGCCTTCCCTAATGCTGCTTCTCATAATTCATGATTCACAGATTTTTTTTTTCAACAACAAAAACATTCCGATTACATTTTTATGGGAGATGTTTTTACTCCTTATACACGCGCTATCAGCTACTTTCATCACAAAATCAACTCTGCCCACCTCCGTAATTATTTGCGGATTTTTTTCCCCCACTTGTTTTTCTGCTTAATGTGATCAGAGATAAGAAAGGCTGGATATTGGGAGGTGGCAGTTACTCTGGGGCTTATCAGGTGACTGAGCCAATTTGATGATTCAGTTTGCTTTGCTCGGTGGAACAATCACTTGCTGAAATAAAAATGTATTTATTTATTTATGTGCTTATGGGTGTGTGTGAGTACACCATGGCAGCCATGTGGAGGTCAGAGGACAACTTGCAGGAGTCACTTGTCTCCTACCGTGTGGGTCCTGGGGACCCAACTCAGTGTGGTTAGGTTTGGCAGCAAACACCTTTACCTGCTGAGCCCTCTCGCCTGCCCAGGACACCACTTTTGAAGATTCCCTTTACTTATGTACTGCGTCTGTATATATGACAGAGGATGACTTTGTCAAAGTCTGTTCTTTCCTTCCACCATGGGGGTCCTGGGGATCGGACTTGGCTCTTTGTCCATGGTGGTAATCACATTTAGCTGCTTGAGCCTTTTTTTTTTTTTTCATTTTTTAAATTTATTTATTAAATTTAATTTTACTTATCAGCCACGGATTCCCTTGTTCTCCCCCCTCCCAGCCCCCTGCTTGAGCCTTCTTGGCTGGCCCAGAATGTGACCTTTTGGTTGTTGCTGTTATGGATTTTATTTTTTGTTTGTTACCTTGCTTCCCCCCTACACCACACACACACACACACACACACACACACACACACACACACACACACACACACCGTATATGTGATTGATACGTGGCTGGGAGTTGTGTGTGTTTGTATGAGTGTGGGCACAGGCTCCACAGCACAGTATTCAGAAATCAGAGGACAACCTTGGATGCTGGTCCTTGTCTCCCACATTGTTTGAGGCAGGGTTCTCTGTGTGAGCTCAATGCTGGCCCAGAAACTTCTGGAAACTCTCCTGCCTTTGACTCTCCTTAGGACTACTTGCATTATAGACATGCAAAATACTGCATCTGGCTTGATGTGGGTTCTGGACATCCAGACTCGGGTCATCCTTTACGTAGTAAGTGCTCCATCCACTAAACCACTCTCCAAACCACTGCTTTTTTCAGGCAGGGTCTCCTATAGCCCAGGATGGTCTTGAACTCTCTATAGCCAACGATAACACTGAGCTTCGGGTCCTCCTGCCTCCACCTCCTTGCAGGAATGCACCAGCATGTTTAGTTTACATAGTGCTGGGGCTGGAACCCAGGACTTCCTGCATACCAAGCCCTGTACCAACTAAGCTGCATCCTCAGCCCTCAGAACGTCATATATATATATA